GCATAGCACAGGGCCTCCAGTCCATGCCATGGAAGACACTAGGGCTGTTAAGCCTAGAGAAAAGAAGATTTCACTGAGACCAGATAGCTCCCATGAAGTCTTTGAAGGATTTTTGTGTGGAAGAGGGATTAGATGGGTTCTGTTTGGAGGGCAGAACCACCATGGATAGAGGAGGAAGAAGAGGGACAACTTCCTAACAGTGAGAGCTATTCATAAGGAGAATGGGCCAGAACCACAGGAAGCAGTGGGTTCCCTGTCCGTGGAGGCCTTTAAGCCAAGGCTAGATGATGCTTGTTAAAGTGAGGCTTCCTTATGGAGGGTGCGTTGGACTGGACAGTTACCAAGTTCTATAGTAAGGACACTAGGCCTTCTACCCACCCCCTGACTCCTTCAGGGATGTGTCCTCTTCATGGGCCTCATTTGCCCCCAAAGCCAAATGAGGGAGATAGGAAAACTAATGCTCATAGATATTCATTAGACTGCTTTTGTTGCCACCCTGGAACAACACTGTAATTTTGCTATCCAAATGGAGAGAGAAAGGACCTTTGGCCTTTTTTTCCCCCAGCCGAGAAAAGGCAACTCTTAGGATTAGTCAGGCGTATAAGGACATCTGAATCCAGAAGTCACACTGACTTGACTTTGGGGGAGGCAGCAAGGTACATGGTACTAGGAAGACCTGAGTTCAAGCTGCCTCAGATCATCAGTGCACCTGTGCAAGTCACAGCCTCAGTTTTCCCTTCTGTTAAATAGTGATAATAGTAGCACCTCACTGCACAGGGTTGTTGAAGGCCCAAATAAGTTAACATGTGTAAATAGCTTTGCAGACCTTAAAGTATTATAGAAATACTATCACCTTTCTGGGCTGCAATTTGTGGAACTGAAAAGTGTGGGAGTGGAAATGAAAACTAACGGGAGGGCAGAAAGGCAAAGCATCTATCCCACCAGGAAACATTTTGCTCCTACCTCAGAACTAAGCTATACATACTCAGCCCCTGGACTGACCAAAATGTCTCATTTTTAAACATCTTCCGCTAGGTGGTGCAATGGATAGAGCACTGGACCTGAATTCAAATGTGAACTCAGACACTTACTAGCTGGGTAACCTTGGCAAGTCAATTAACCTCTGCTTAGCTGTTTTCCTCATCTGTAAAATGGGGATAACAGTACCTACCTTCCAGAGCTATCATAAGATAAAATGAGATAATAATAGTAAAGTGCTCAGAATGGTTCCTGGCACATAGTAGGCACTATATAAATGTTAGCTATTCAGAAAGGTAATTCTGTAAAGCCCTGGCCCGTATTGAGCTCTGTGGCTCTTTCTTTCAGTTAATAATAATAATAGCTAACATTTATGTGTGTGTATATGTATACATATGTGTATATATATGTGTGTATATGTATATATGTACACATACATGTATAAATAAATGTAGATATTTAAACCAAAATATTATATTATGTCTGTCTGTATGCGTGTATGTATGTGTGTATGTATGTATACACACACATGTAATCAGGAAGTTATTAAAGATGAACTCTGTGAACTAAAGCAGCAATGGGGAAAAATGGACTCTTAAATTCTGACCATCCATGGTCCTGCCCCATTGGCTGACCTAGTATCTCCTTCAAGAGTTCTCCCATCATTCCTACCCCCCCCTTTGTGATATGTATCTGTCACAGGGCTGAAGGGGGCCATATTATGTTACAAATGGCCTTCCCTGTTTCTTTCTGTGCCTCAGGACATTTGGGAACGTGGGTCCCTGAAAGCTTATTGGGGGACCTTTTCCCCCCAGTATAGTCAGCCTTTCATTAAACACACACACAGAGCACACTTCTCCAGGGCATGGGTGTAGTAGGTTTGGGGGGAGTTGGAGGGGAGGGGGGGCAGAAGGAGTGGGACTGGTAAGGAGCGGGGAGAGTGAGCTCCAGGTTTCTCTCTCCTGCCTTATTTTTCCCCTGGGCCACATTTTGTATGCAAGGGAACGTCAGGCCAATCAACCTCGGAAGAAAAGGGCAAAAAAAGAGTTTCCTAAGTTGTCTTTGCCCGAGTTGGCAGCTGCTGTGGGGGTTTATTCAGGGTTTTGTTCCCCAGTGGAGTGCTGTGCGTGTGTGATGACAATGAAGAGACACAGTTAACACTGAGGGCTAATGGTAAAGTTCCGTCATCCCCATTCGTGGGCGGAGGGGAAGCCAGCAAGCAGAGGAAGTGAGAAGCCCATGTAATGAACCAGAGATCACAAACATCATCTCTGTCAGGGCTTTGAGCCTAGAGAGGGAAAGGGGAGAGATGGGGGGAGGGGTGAAAAAGGAAGGGGGCTGGGGGGCAGGGGTCTGAGATCATGAGAGTTGGAAGCTTGCCTTGAGTCCCCGGCATTGTAGATGTCACCTGTCCAAGCTGACATGTGCAGGCTGAAAGAGGGGCAGAGTGAGGTAGTGAAAATAGTATTGGACCAAAGGAGGAGACCTGAGTTCTGATCCCAGCTTCATCCCCTCTTAATTTATCTCTTAAAATGGGGGAGGGAGGGATGTTAATCTCCAAGGTTCCTTCCATAGCTTGAAAATTCTGTAACGATGTGATTCACTCCCTAGGATTTAGAGCTGGATGGGACCTTAGAGATCATCTAAGCTTCTCTGCCCCCCTTATTTTATAGATAGGGAAACTGAGGCCCAGAAGAGTGAAGTCACTGGTATCAACTTTCTCCCCCTTCCCTAATTTTAGACCTGAACTTTCCTCTTTCTACTTCATCCACTTAAAATTATGGAATCTCAGAGTTGGAAAGGACTAGGAGACCATCTCTAGGCATATCCATACCTGAACAATAATTTCCTGTCTACATGGCTGGCAGGTCATCATCTAGCCTTGACTTGAACATCTCCATGATGGAGAAACCAGTCCATTCTATTTCTGGATGGTTCTGATTCTTAGATCAAGTCAAAATGTTCCTCTGGGTAAATCTCTCCCATTGTTCCCAATTTCCCTCTGATAGAATGTCTGCTCCTGATGAGTAAGAAGTGTCTTTCTTCATCCCTAAAATGATGTTTGCATCTACTTTTCCCTAATTCTCTTCACTTCTTCTCCTCTCTCTTCCTTGAAACTGCCAATCCATTCTCCTGGACAATCTCTCCCTGTTGCTCTACTCTGCTTTGGCATTGGTTTCTCTGTCACCTCGACGGCAAGATCTCTGGGTCACAGCCGTCAGGGCTGTTTACAGTTGGTGCGGTTAACATTTCACAGTATCACATGCCAGCTAATAAATAAAGATCTGCCTTCTGGAGTTTTGCCCAGCAATACCCCCCATTCATCATCTCAGAAAAAACTACCACAGCCCGTTAAGTCATGATTCCTAGACAAGAATTCATAATGGTCTGACATTTCTATAGCCTTTACATAATCTTTACAGGGGCTTGACTTACGCATTCTTCCCCTCTCTTCCCCAGCAGGGAAGACTGAAGAAAGTACTCTTATTTTTCAGATGAAGAAACTAAGGCTCAGACAGCTTACACTACTTATCCATGGTCTTACAGCCACTAAATGCATTAAGCAAGATATGAACCCAGTAGCCCAGCATTCTTTCTATAATAAGGTGTAGAAAGAAAGCGTTTTCCCTAGAAGTAGCTAATAGTCAGAAAGACCTCAGTTCAAATTCAGCCTCAGACAGCTGTGTGACCCTGGGCAGGTCACTTAACCTCTGTCTGCCTTACTTTCCTCAACTATAAAATGAGATTTGTTGTGAGGATCAAATGAGATAATATTTGTAAAGTGCTTGGCACATAAAAAACACTTAATAAATGCTTTTTCCCTTCCCTACAAGAGGCTTTTTCTCTAATGTTAGTCAATATAGAGGTTTTACATGCCCATTTTATATGCAATATTATTTCACTTCTGACTTTGTGACCCCATTTGAGGGTTTTCTTGGCAAAGATACTGGCATGCGTTTTCCGTCCTTCTAACTCATTTTACAGATGAGGAAAAGTAGGCAAAGAGGGTTAAGTGACTTGCCCAGGGTCACAGAGCTAGAAAGTGTTTGAGGCTGCATTTGAACTTATGAAGATGAGTCTCCCTGATTCCAAGCCCAGTGCTCCGTCCATTGTACCACCTAGCTGTCCTGTATTGAGTTTTCGGTCCACTAAATCCAGATTTTTTTTTTATAGGAACTATTTCTAGCCATGCCTCCTCTGTTATACTTGTGGAGTTGATGTTTTCAACCTGTGTGAAATCTATGAATAGATTCCAGCTTCATTTTCTATTATCTTGACCCATTGTTCTAGCATGCTAATTTCTCCTTTTCCTACCATATTGTCTATTAGTATGTAATTTGCAAACTTGGCAAGCATATTTTCTGTTGCTTTTTCTGAGCCACTGATAAAAATGTTGAATTGCTCTGAGCAAAGGACAGAACCCTGGGACACACAACAAGAGACCTCCCTCCCACTCGACATCCATTTAGAAATGGCTGTCCTTTGTGTTCCTTCATCCAGTCAGCTGCCTCTAACTGTACCATCGTCTATTACCACCTTTCTCCACATTACCCATTAGAATACTTTGTCATATATTTTGCTGAAATCTAGGTATACTGTAGTTAGAACATTTCCCTCACCTGCCAATGTCGTTACATTCCCCAAAAAAGGAATTAGCTCAGTCTGGCATGACCTGTTCTTGAAGAAGCCAAACTAGCTTTAGTGATTATTGCTGCCCTTTCTAAATACTCACAAACTATCCAGTCAATAAAGTTTTCTAGAATTTTCCCAAGATGAGAGGTCAAGCCCACCGCCCTTTAGTTTGCAGACTTTTCCTTTTGTTGAAGATGAAAACCCCTCCTGCCCTCGTACTGTTGGGCACCATGATCTTTCAAAATTTCTGACAGTAGCTAAGCAGTCATTTGTCACTTCTTTAAATGCCTTTGGATAGGGCTTATCTGGACCTACTGACTTGAGCTCATGGCAAACAGCGAGGTATCATCTACTCACTTATCTTCAGTTTCAAATCACCTTTCTTCTAGGATTGCCTGAAAGCCTGCCAAGAACAGATTGAGGCTGTGTTGGTGAACAATCTGAGGCAAGTTCGACAAGAGGAGCAGCAGAGGAATCCTGCAAAGACGGTGGATGAACTGGACCAAGCCAGCACCCCCACAGATGTGAGGGACGTCAACCTGTGAGGATGCCAATGCAGAGGGGAAGAAAGAGAAAAAGAGAGTAGTACTTGCTCGTTTTCTTACTTCGTGTGGTTTTGTGTGTGTGTGTGTGTGTGTGTGTGTGTGTGTGTGTTTTAGAACAAAACTTTTTTTAATCTACTCCCACCTAGAAATATTTAAGGGTCTTTTAGAAAAGAAGAAAAGAAGCTTACAAAAAAAATTGAACTATTAAAAATATTTGGTGCCTATAATGTTAAAAAGAAGGGAATCATGATCTTTGTGACAGGTTACTGTTTGGTTATGTATAGTAAAATGCTTATATGAAAGCATACAAAGTAGCTAGAGAAAACGTATGCCTGCAGATGTGGGAACAAAGCAGATTATACTCTATTTTTCCATATTATGAACTAGTGCATACATCCCCGATTTAGATGGGAGAAAAGAATTATGTGATTCATGGTTTAATTAGATTGCAAAGCAATGAACTGATGGGGTTGGGGAAATGAGGAAGTAATGAGGGGGCAACCCAGAAAGATAATTATCTCTGATGCAATTGAACCGTTGTGGATGCAAAAGTTCTTTGGCTCTTAAGTCGCCTTTGGTTTAATTGGAAATGTATGTTGGATTTCTCTGAGTGAGTTGTGCCTCCTCCCATCTGCAGCAGCTGCTGCCAAGGAAAGAGAGAAGATGCTTTATTTTGCCAGGCAGATACAGGTGATTGGTTCCTGGGTGCGATGTGCTACTTCTCCTTTAAACATGCTCCACCGCCGACAGCCGTACCACACTGTTGGTGTAAGGGAAAGCCCAACTTTGGGCCATGCCCAGGGGTTGTGTTTTAGTGCAGAAAAACAGAACCAGAGTCTGAATTGCTGCAATAACAAGGGTGATGAGGTCTTCATATCCTTCACCAGTCCAAATTAATTCATGGACTGATGAACATTTCTTATCCACAGCTCAGCATTATTATAAACCATTCCATTCAAAAAGCACTTTGAAAATTATTCTTGAGGGATAAATGGGATGGTTTATGAAAATCATGTGGAATAAAGGATAGAGAGGGGTCAAAAAATGCAGTCCTCCTCTCCCCCCCTCCCCAGTCTGTAGTATTGTTTCTATATTGCATCTGATATACTCTCTCAGTAGCCCCTACATTAATGCTAGAAGATGAGAGACACCCAATTCAGGTGACATTCCCATCACAACATTCCTGATGAAATTCCAAAGGAAAAAAATGTTATTCCTGTGTCACAGAAGGATCTTAATACACCTACCTGCACACTTCTCCTTTGGGCCTTAAAAGAAAAATTACTGTTAGTGCAAAAGTCAGGTGACTGAACACCAGAGGCGCAGTGTTGTGTTTTGTTTTTTCCTTTTTTGGGGGGGGGGTGGTTAATTTTATTACAAAATTGTATTCAGTGTACTTGAATTTTTTTTCCACTTTGTTTCAAAGAGGGAGGAAAGGAGTTGGAGCAGCAGAAAAAAAATTTGCACAGTTATATTAACAGGTTTTAGGGGGTATATGAAGCTGTTGTTTGAAATACTGTTTGCATTTTTTAAAAGAAATCATAATGGGCTACTTTGAAGCATTATTTTATAAACAGACTTATGTCTGGCAATATGAGGGTTGAAAATGCAATTTTTAAAAATCTTAGGGTATCTTTCATTTGTTTTTATCTGTTTGGGGTTTTTTTTTTGTTGTTGTTTGCGCTGCTAAGAAGCTACGACCCTTCATTTTTATCCACATTAACAGTACTTAGCTGTAATGTTTCACTGAGTGTGCTGCTATTTTATAAACATTTTGATAATATATTATTTTACTGCTTAAATTTCAAATCCTGAAGCAGGTGGTTAAGTTGAGCTTATAAGTTCTGTGATTTACTGGAAAAGCCCGTGTATACCTTTTGTTTTTCTCTGATAGTGTATTCATTTTTTTCCTGCTCATATTCTGCAAAAATGGCATTTACTTTACCTCAGGTTTACTGGATACAAAATAAAAGGTTCACACTCTTTTTTCCTAATACCTCACAACCTTCTGCTGGGGAGCCTTTTCATATATCCTTGATAGAGGAGATGGGAGATAATTGATCTCTTCTTCCTTCAGAAAGAAGACAGGGCTACTTTAACCTAGAAAGGGGGCAGCTTGTTCCCTGAGAACCATTTCTGACCACGAGGGCATTGACTTAGGCTCCCATTTTGACTTAAGGATCCTCATCATCATAGTGGAAAAAATACACTGAACCCCAGGGAATCCCTCTAGGGCATATATTTATGCACCAGCAACAAGGCAGTGGATTTAGAAGTCTGGTTTGCCCTCATTGACCAGGTGTCAGGAAGAGAGAATAAAAATGAATCTTGGCAGCTTGTTTGCAAATCTATATTTTGCATGCCTTTAAAGAGAAAAGCCTTCCCCTTAACCAATCTGTTCATGCAGGGTCTTTTATTGCAGAGGGTCTCTCCCCAGTTCCCCAATCTCTGGCTCACTAAATGTCGAACACCAAACCTCGAATGTAATTTTATGGGGATGATTCCTCCTACCACTGGCAAACCTAGGCCCTTTGCCAGTGGGTACTAAGCAAATTTCACCCGGAGGATTTACGTTTTATTTACCCATTCTGAACTTGGGATAGCTTAGGGTACTAGAATAAACCTAAAGGACCAGTTCACTAAGAGTCATCAGTGATTAGAATTTGTTTCCCCAAAATCTTAGAAGGAAAGATATACTGCTTCCCTCTAAAGGTGACTTCTGCATAGGTGAATGATTCTGTCACACTGGGCTTACAGAAAGATGCTTTGATGAAAAGGAATTTTTAGGGGGAACTCTCATCTCTAAGATGGAGGCTGAAAATCCAGTCAGTAAGCCAGTCCCCATTTATTTAAATGCTCATTTTTGGCAGGATAGTCACATATGTGAGACAGGATTGTTTTAAAATTCACAGTGAAGAGACTTCGAAATAACAGTGTCCAAATGAGGAAGGGGCAAGAAATTGGGGACTTCTCAACCTCCGCCCCTCTCTTCCCGGCCCCAGTACTCTAGTGCTAGTTTTTCCTTTTTCCTTTTTCCTTTTAATATCATATAGTCCTGCGTAATGAAGTCTGTCTTGAGGAAACACACTTATACAGAGAAAAGAATCCTTGGTTAAGAAACCTTGGCTCTTTCTCCTTTGACACTGTTTCTTTTAGAGAAGCTTCTGTTCCAGGCTCCAGATTATCCATTAACTTTAGCTTATTCCTTTGTCCTTTAATCCCATCAAAGGAGTTGTGCCACCAGTAGTTTTTTTCCCCTTTTATCCATTCTCCTCCCCTTCTTCCTTTCCTTCCTTTCTTTCCTCTCCATTGAGAGCTTTTTAGACTTTTTATTTTTTGCATTATGGTGCTTTCCATCCAGTAGTCAAATCCTTAAAAAATACAGTATAATAAAATACTTTAAAAATACACCAAATACAGTATAATAACATAATCTGATATAATACAGGTTCATAAAAGCCGAGGAACCTGGAGGTAGAGATTCTCCCCACCACCACAGACACATACAGGAATCCTACCCAAGGGGAAAAAAAGATTAATGCCTACCAAGGAAGCCCAACTGCTCTGGGGAGTTACTGTCAGACAGCTTACAATGTCTACAATTAGTCTGTCAACTTAATCCACAGGAAAGACCCTTGTCCGCTTCCCTTTTTAGCTAAGTCGGAGCCTCTCACTGGATGCAGTGAGGGCCAAGAGGGATGTGTCCCCAGGGCAGAGATTGAAATGACCAGGTCAGAAGATAGACCTGGCTCTGATACCATATGCTCTTTGCAGCATATTGGGGTTTCCTCAAGAAGAAACTGTGTTTTTGCCTAGTTCAGGACCTTAAGAATCTGTTTAGATTATGTCCTGATGTCCATACAACAGATAACATGATGCTGTAGTACCTTAGTTCGAGGACTTTCTTAGAGAGGAAGCAGAAATCTCATTCTATGTGACCCTGAGTAGGGCTATTGAGAAGAAAATGAACAATTGCACCTTATAACATGTAAATATTACTCTTCTAAAGTTAAAAAACATTGGGTTGGAAGATGAGGATGGACAGAATATTTGAGCAAGCCAATTTGAAATTGACCAGACTTCCAGGACACCAGAATTTCTACTGGTATAGTTCAGCCTTTGAAATAGTTCAACCTTGTGCATAGCTTTTTTTTTTTTTTTTTTTGGTTAGGCAGTGGGGTTAAGTGACTTGCCCAGGGTCACACAACTAGTAAGTGTTATGTGTCTGAGGCCGGATTTGAACTCAGGTCCTCCTGAATCCAGGGCCGGTGGTCGGTGCATAGCTTTAAAGGGGGTACATTAAAGCTTACTCATTCTCCCTACTCCCTCCAGAAATGATATTCAGCATAGAATGAATAGAGATCTGCTAGTATGAAACTCGGAACACATCTTTCAAGGGATGTTGGAGATGATATCTATTTACATAAAATTGGGTGCATGAATTCAAGAGAAATTGTATTACTCCATCTACCTTGTAGCATCAAATGATTATGGACTCTAAACAACCTAATATCTTCAATTCGACAAGAACTACTCCCATGCTTTTGTATGTTGTTGATTTTTGGCTTCTCATTGTGAAATAAATATGATCTTGTAGCCCTAGGTTACCCTTGCCATACAGCCCACTTTGGTGGGAGAAAGGGTTGAACAAAAAGTCCTTGAAGATTATATTCTTTACAGCATCCTAAATATTCTAGCAAGCTCCTACCCTTAATAAAACAGATGTGTTTCTTGCTTCTGACCACTGCCCATAATTTGGCAACTCTTAAATTCCCATCAAGTACTAGGCCACTGGATTTTTTCCATTATGTTCCATTACCACGTACCTCAGTTAACTCAGTTGCAGAGTTTCCGGTCTTGAACTTTTTTTTCTGCTTTAATGAGTGTGATGCCACATCATTTCAACTTTCTTCTCTCACAATGGGCTCTTTAAGAGGCATGGTTGTTTTAGAGGTGGGGGGATGCTAGAGTGCTGCCATAGACATGCTCCATGTGAACAAAGCCTGGAGAAAAGTATATGAGGTTGCTTTATTGGATCAGACTGTGACATGTAGCTGATTGCCTCTTAAGAAGGCTGATTTGTTCAGTGTTTTTAAAATGAATAACCTGTTCTTCCGACTAGTTTGAAGTTGGATTTGAGAAATGGTTTTGGATGCAATTAGGTATGCTGTATGGACAATAAACTCACCATGACCTAAATTCTCTGGCCATCTTGACTCATAATTCATAGATCAGTAGTCCTAAGAACAGAATTGTACCATCGCCAATCATTCCCATTTTGAAAATGTTTGCACCTCTCAATGACATTGGCTATTAAATTTTGGGCATATACTTATCAAAAAATACTTCTTGAATGACATATAAATCCCTGGGGGACACATTAAATGTATTTCATGGGGGTGGGCACTTAGATCAAAATATTACAATATTAATGTTATTTTTTCTTTCAGTGACAATGTGGCCACTTTGCTTAACTCTACCACTAAAAAACATTCTCTTAAGGCAGATGGATAACAAATATTACCAGGGCTTAAAAACTGGCCTCATGGTCACTTCTGGCTTAACATGAGACCTACATGAGGTTCACATGACATCTCTAAGCACACTGGCTTCACCTTCTCTCAGAGAATACATATTGGGTCTGCATCCTTGGAATCCATCTACCTTTCTACTTCTATGTACAGGGTAGGACTATGCTGAAACTTTCTTAGGGAGTGCCACTCTTTAGTGTAGTAGTTTGTTTTTGTTTGTTTGTTTGTTTTTGCAAGGCAATTAGGGTTAAGTGACTTGCCCAGGGTCACACAGCTACTAAGTGTCAAGTGTCTGGTCTGAGGCTGCATTTGAACTCAGGTCCTCCTGACTCCAGGGTCAGTGTTCTATCTACTGCGCCACCTAGCTGCCCCTAATGTAATAGTTTGGCCCTTACTCCAAACTCATCTAGGCTGTTGGACTAGCAGCAACTCTTTTGCCTTTGAGTGTGTTTCTCCTGCTTCTCCAGGAATCCCAATCAGTTAGAGGATATTTGTATTACCTATATATACTTCAAGTACCTGTTGTATATATCTCAAGAATCTTTCATTTTTCTTATTGGGGTAATTCTTTCAACACCACAGACTGTGACTTTACAAATGCTCTTCAACCATTGCTGAAGCTGAAATATATAAATATCACTTAAAGCCTACTTGGTGATTAGGTCCTCAGATGAAAGACATGCAGTCCATCATAAGGCCTATACTCAAAGTTTTTTGGTAAGACCTTCCAGAGCTTGTAATCCTCTAGCATACTTTTCAAGAATACATGGTCAACTATATGCCCCAATGAGGCACTAGAGTAGGACTTTAAAAGTGGATGGTCTCAAAAAAAAAAAAGTGAATGGTCTCAGTAATTTTATTTAAATATCAAAATTTACTTTCTCTCCAATTCTGTACTTCGCCTGTTTCCTTAATGTTTTTATTTTAATTTTGCCTGGGTTCAGTGCATTTAACTAGACAATGTCTGAATAAAAATTAAAATTAATTCAAAGTCCTATTCTAGTGCCTCATCTTGGCATCAACTTGGTCCTAAGTTCTTGAGGGGCTAGGCCAGCAAAATACAATTTCTAGAACAATTCTTAACCTCTTTTGGGTCATAGTCCCCTTTGGCAGTATGGTGAAACCTATGAATTCTTTCCCAGAATAATGTTTTTAAGTTCATAAAATAAAATCAAATTGCAGAGGAATCCAAATATATTGAAATGCAGGTATTAAAATAATCTTTTTTAAAAATAGGTTCACAGACTCCAAGTGAAGAACTGCTAGGTATTCCTACCAATCTGGAAATGGTTTCAATTTCAGACCATATATCTGTCATCTAAGATCCAACCTAACCATGTTCAGAAAAGGTTCAGGAGATTGTCTGCAGTGATGATTTTTTCAGCCATAGCAACTCAAAATACAGGATTATGATCTTTATCAGGAAAATAAGCATCCATTCTGATAAGTCACCAATTTTTAAAGTAAGAGGTACCACCAAAAGAGGAAATTTTCCACCATTCTAAGCACACTTCTTTCATGGCCAAGTTCAGTATTATACCAAAGCATTCTCCCTCTACTAGGCAGCCGTCTGTGGTGCTCAAAGAGCTGAGCTTGAAGTCGAGAGACATTGGCTCATATTTCAGTTCTGATACTGGCTGTGTCACCCTGAGCAAGTCATTTTACTTCTCTGTTTCCTCATCTGTAAGATGGGAATAGTATAAAGACTTGTACTTCCTAATTAAGCAGGACTGTCATGGCTGAGAAAGTGTTTAGTAAATCTTAGTGTTTACATATACATATGTGGGTATGGAAGTGTATTGTATTTTTGGTAAGGTGTAGGAAAAATCAAAACTTCCATATAGGTGATTCCTACTGTAACAACTCTCCCGTGACATAGATCAGCGGCTCATTTGATTCTTATAATCCTAGAAAGTTACCTGGGACACTGAGAGGTTAAGTGACAGCTTACAGGTGCTAGAGACAAGGCTTGAACTCATTTCTTTCTGATTTCAAGGGTAGTCCTCTAATCACTGTTACCCTGGGAAGGGGAGGGGAATAAACATTTATGTAGTGGCTACTCTGTGCTAGATATTATCCTAAGTGCTTTAAAAATATTTCACTTGATCTTCACAACTATGTGAGGTGGATGCTGTTTTTATTCCCTTTTTACAGTAAAGGAAACTGAGGTAAAAAGATCAAGAGACTTGCACAGGGTCATTCAGTGAGACCAGATTTGAACTCAGGTCTTCTTGACTCCAGGCTCAGCTCCCTGCCACTCAACATGCTATAATACATATGAATTATTACCAGAAAAAAAAGTCCTGACATCCCCAGTAACAAGTGGTAGCTCTTTATCAAGAAGACCAAGAGAAAGTCAACCAATAACAATTATGAACTCCCATGCTTTGTACTAGGCAGTTTGAGGGAGTATTAAAGAAACAGGAAGATGTGGTCCCAACTCTCAATGAGTTTTCAATCTGATTAGGGAAATTTGCATGGGTATATGAAACTAGTTGAAGAACACTTGAAAAGTAAATTTGTCAAGTGCAAATGTCAATATTGTGCAAATGGAGTACGTTACTATGTACTAAAGTCTCATGATGCCTAAAAGTGGATCACACTTTCTGGTGGAAGAGTTTTATGCAAATTCTGAAATCTTTAGAGAAATTTTCACGGGGCGGTTTTACTTAACCATAAAGCATTAGAAAGCAAGTTCTGAACAATTTAAGTTAGGGAATTGGGATAAGGCTAAAGAATAAAATAATTGATTATTTATATGGCTCAAAGTTTGCAAAGTACGTTATAAATGTAATGAGTACCATTATATACATCGCCTCATTTGAGCCTCATAGCAACCTTGGGAGATAGGTACCACAAGCAGTAGAGTCCCCATTTTCAGATCTGGAAATAGACTAAGGTTAAATGACTTGCATAGAGCAACACAATAGTCAAAGTGGCAGAGATAGGGTTTCAACTCAGGTCTCCTTAATGCATCATTTTTTGCAATATATTAAGCTGCCTCTCCACACTGAAAAGTTAAAGAAACTAAATACTCCAAGAAGAGGTAACTTCAAAAACATAGTTTAGCAGAAAGCCATCTGGCCAAATTCAGAACACCACAAAATTTGAATGAAATCTGAAATTACGGGTCAGGTACTACTGACATAAGATATAAGTCTGAATCTAGAAAGGTCTCTGGTAGCCCTCACTCTCTATCCTTATCTTTCTGCTGGCTCTGCTCTCTCTCCTAGAAAGTCCCATAATATAACAGTTCTGACAAAAGACCCTGAGACCATTTGACAAAAACTTTAGGGAAAACTGGAAAGCACTCTGGCAGAAATTAGGTTTAGACTAACATTGAAAAACAATTTGGAACAATGCCCCCCAATTGTAAAACTCTGCATCTTATTAAGTAAGATCCAGTGATACTACTACTACTACTACTAGACCGGTACACCAAAAGAAAAAAAGCAAGAAAAAGAGCCATATACATACATATATACATACATACATATATACACTATATATATATATATATAATATATGTATGTATGTATGTATCAGCTCTTTTTTGAAGAGGCAAAGAACTAGAAACTAAAGGGGCACCTACCAATTGCAGAATGGTTGACCCATTCAGACCTTAGTTATGGTATATGAATGGAATGCTCTTGTGCCCTCAGAAATGGTGAAAGGGACAATATCAGAAACTTGAGACTTGTATGAACTAATTCAGAGAAAAGTAAGTAGAACCATAACAACAACATTGTAAAGACAAATGACTTTGATAGACCTCAGAATTCTGAGCATCAGTGACCAATATGATTCCAAAGAACTGATAATGAAACATGCTACCCATTTCCTGATAGAGAGATGATAGCCTCAAGATGTAGAATGAGACATACATGTTTAGACATGGCCAATGCAATAATTTGTTGTGCTTAAATGCAAGTTTGTTACAAGGGGTTCTTCCCCCCCCTCTTCCACTGGAAAATGGAAGGGGACAGTGGAAGGTATAGACAATAAATATTTATTCATTGAAAATAATAATATAAATGTTAAAAATAACAAAGGACAAATGAGATTTGTTGGCCAGAAAATTGAACCAGTCTTTAAATCAAATAGCCAATCAACTTTGCCTGGCAAAGTTTGTGATTCTCCTTTATCTCACCCATGTATCAGTGCCCACAGATTTAATTACCATCTTTATGCTGATGATTCGCCAACTTACCTATCCTGCCCTATCTCTACTGACTGCCAATCTTGCGTTTCCAACTACCTTTCAGACATCTCAAACTGGATATCCAGTAGACATCTTAAACTCAACATGTCCAAAACTGAAGTTCTTATCTTTCTACCTAACTCTCTTCTACTCCTACTTTTCCTATTAGTTCCTCAGGCTCCCAATCTAGGTGTCATCCTCACCCCCTCACTATCTCTCACCCCACCATTTCCCATTTGTTGCCAAGGCCTGCAGATTTCACTTTTGTAGCATCTCTCAAATACACCTCCTTTGCTCCTCTGACATTGCCACCCTTCTAGTGCAGGCTCTAATCACCTCATACTTGGACTAATGCCATAGCCTGCAGGTGGGTCTGCCTGCCTCAAGTCTCTCCCTGCTCCAATCCATCCTCCATTCAGCCACCAGAATGATTTTCCTAAAGTACATGACTGACCGTGTCACCCCTC